TGTTTTTTCTTAGGACCTTTAAAATTGTTGTGTTTAATTATGCTGCAGAAGATCTGATGGGACAAGCAGATGGTGTAATGGTTATGTCGCTGGACTCCCATGTAGTCAACTGCAGTTCGAGTCATAGACCCGCAGCTTAAAACTCATGCTGGGCGCGTGTGCCCAAGATCCCGAGAGGAGAATGGAGGAGAAGGGATTACAGAGTGGCCATCCCTTCTTGGGGGTGATTTCTCACTTTCTGTCTCTCTGTCTCTCTCTGTCTCTTTGGTGAGCACACACGTTCTAAAGCAAAAAAATCTCCTAAAAAAAAAAAAAACTACTGATATTTCTGATAGGATCAAGTTAAATTTTAAATTTTTATAATCATAAAAGTTTCAAATATCTTTCAATTTAAAACCTTTATCTGGACAGGAACCAGCAGTTAGTGTAATGGCTATGTCGCTGGACTCCCACGTAGTCGACCGCGGTTCACGTCCCGGACCCAGTGGCTTAAAACTCACGCCAAGCGCGTGTGCGTGCGTGCCCAAGATCCCGAGAGGAGAATGGAGGAGAAGAGATTGCGGCGTGACCATCCCCCCTGGGGGGTGATTTCTTGCTTTCTGTCTCTATGTCTCTCTCTGTCTGTATGGCGAGTGCGCATGCCCTATAGCGAAAATCTCTCTAAAAAACAAAAAAATCCTTTATCTGGAAAAGTTTTTTGTGGTAAGAGAGAGTGATATATCAACTTTGAGGATGGGTGTACAGTTGTGTCTACTTAGTGTATACCATGCCAGAGGCTGGAAATACTAATTAATTAGTATATTATTTGTCTCCTCAAAGACACACATAAATAAAAACATAAGCAGTCATTTGAGAATTATGTAAGTTTTTTTAGGTATAAGAAATAAGCTCATTTAATGGCTATTTATAGGGAGAAAGAGGAAACATTACTTGCCTTTTCATTTTTTTTAAACTGTAATATTTGAAATAATTTTAGATTGACATAAAAGTTTCAGAAATAGTCCTCAGAGTAAACATGGACTATATACAAGTCCTAGTAACAAGTCCCCCAGATCCTCATTTCTTTGCACTTAGGAACCATCTGGTGGTTCTTTCTCTTTCTCTGGCAAGCACGTGTGCCGTCTAGCAATTATAAAACATAAATTAATTTTTTAAAAGATGATGAGTATCTTTCTTTATAAGAAAGTATATTTCTCACTTTTCTCTCTCAGCGTATCAGTTCTGTGATCCCAAAATGCATGGAGGGTTCCCCTCACCGGCACGCGATTCTGCAGCCAGCACCAGCTGAGTGTCCTCTAATCCCATTCGGTTCTCATGCTTTCTCCCTAAAGATCACATCACATCCCTCTTGTTGAGGGCTCAGTCCTCAAGATTGCCCCTCTCTACCGCCACTCTCTCAGGTATTCATTACAAGTCTGGGCTTCAGAACTTCTGAATTTGGGGTTCCCAACCTGCTCCCCACCTTACATTTTGTGAATCTACTGGAGCAGATCAGAAAAGTCAGGGAGACATGGTTACCATTTATTATAAAAGATCTGACAAAGGATGCAGATGAAGAGATGCATAGGACAAGACGTGTGGAAAAGTATAGAGTGTCAGGTCCGGCAGGTGGAGTGATTACGGCGCTAGATTCCCGCATGGCTTACACCACTGTTTGAGTCCTGGACCTGGCAGCTTGAAAATCACTCTGGGCATGTTGTGTAAATCCCAAGAGGAAAATGGAGGAGAAGGGATTATAGCGTGGCCATCCCCTGGGGGTCGATTTCTCACCTTCCCTCTGTCTCTCCCAAGCAAGTACACGTGTGCTATGGCAAAGTCACTAAAATAAATAAGTAATTAAAAATAAGTGTAGGGCTTCCATGCTGAGCATGCCACCCTCCCAGAACCTCTATGTGCTCAGCTGCCTGGAAGCCCTGCTGTTTTGAGTCTTCCTTGGGTATTTCATTGCATAGGCCTGAAATGCTAATGGACTGGGTGGGGAAAACCAGCAAGGCCTGTTTATTCAAAGTCTTGGCTTCTTTCTTTCCTCCTGGATATGAGGCATGGCTGTCTGGAATTGGGGGTCTTAAAGATGGGGAAGGATTAGTTTCTATGACTTGCCTTGGGATGGGTGAAAGGAGGGCAGAAAGCCAATCTTTCACATTAACTCTCCAAAGCTGTTAGGAAGATGCTTGAGGAACTAAGGACAAAAGGCCAAATTCTTATGAGCTAGGAACCGCGGATGGAAAAAACAAAATACATTTGCCTATCATAATACCATAAAGTAAAGAAAGATTTTGCATTTACCCTTAAGTACGTACTAAGTATTTTGCCAGGAAATACCTAGAACTGTGTAAATATTCATTCCTGATCAACTGTCACTCACCAGGCGTAGCTGTGGTGGTGCTGGCGGTACAGGCCGCTGTGAATACTAGAGCCGCCTGGGGAGGCCTGGGTTTGGACCCGGGAACCTAAACACACTAGGTGTGCCCTTAAAAGCCTGTGATCCTGGCCAGCTGGGAGGCTTGGGGAAGGATTTGTGGCATGGCCATACCTTGTCAAAGGTAGGGCAGTGTGTGTGTGTGTGTGTGTGTGTGTGTGTGTATTCTAAAATAAATTTATAAGTGAACTTTGATAGTGCTTGACCCAGTTAGTTATTATGATAGTTGGCAAGTGGTGGTTTTGTAATTCTAGCATTGTTTCTGGATTTATTTCAGTCTGTTGAAGGGTCGAACTCTCTGTGACCCCCACACACATTTATTTTTAATATTACAAATTCACAGGCTTAATTTACTCAGTTCCAGTTTATTACTATTATTATTTTTTATTTTTTGGAGAGGTTTTAGCTATAGGGCGCGTGCGCTCGCCAGACAGACAGAGACATAGAGACAGAAAGCGAGAAATCACCCCCCAGGGGGTATGGTCACGCCACAATCCCTTCTTCTCCATTCTCCTCTCGGGATCTTGGGCACACACGCACACGCGCCCAGCGTGAGATTTAAGCCCCCGGTTCCGAGACGCGAACCGCGGTCGACTACGTGGGAGTCCAGCGACATAGCCATTACGCTAACTGCTGGATCCCCTATTATTATTTATTTTGATGCTCAAACTGTTTTGAGATTTGGCCAATAAGAACCTTGCAAGCTAGTTCTGGGGTCATTTTGGAATGATCTCATTCTCTGAACACTTCCTTACATCTGGCAGAACAGTATGGTGCAGGCTCACCTTGCTCTTTCCTGCCCCAGCCCGAGAGTCAGCGGTTTCTTCAGTGAGCCCCGGGTCCTTTTAATGTAGTATTAAAATGGTATCTAGAAACTAACATTACAACCAAGGTGTCACTGTTCTAAGTTCTTGTGAAGGACAGAGGTAGGAACTATGTGTGTTCACATGCACATGCATATGTCCATTTGCACACCTATCTACACACATCATTTTCTTATTTTTTAAATAATTATTTAATTTTATTTATTCATTCTTTTCTTTTCTTTTCTTTTTTTTAAATTTGACCAGAGAGACACACAGAGAGGGAAAGTGAGAAAGCAAGCCACCAGGTCCGGGACTCAAACCATGGTCTGCCACATGGGAGTGTCCAGAGCCTTAACCACTGTGCCACCTGCTGGTCCCTACACACATCATTTTCTGTATCTGAATATTAAAACCGTCAGTTCAAGCCACTATCTCTAGTCCTAATGCAATAGCACAGGATTTGTTCTGACCTCTCGTGTGTTTAAGTCTCTTCTCCATCCATAAGACACTGCGTTTTCACCATCATCATTCTGTTTACTTATTTGCTTAACTCCCTACCACCACATCACTCTGGCATGTCACCAACTTCTGCTACCGCTTGACCCAACACCTCACCCTCTCCTTTCCCTGGGTTCTCTGGCCACAATTTCAGCCCTAATGAAGAAGAAGGCAATTACTTCCTTTAACTAAAGTGAGTTCAGAAAGATGTTTGTGGTGGTACCTGGAAGAAAGATTGGTTAGAAGGGAACAGGGAAAGGAGACTTTATATATATATAACTAAAATATTCTCCGTTTGCATCTTTTGGGTTTATTTATTTAATTTGTCAGAGGGCATATGCACTTGCCAGAGAGAGGAGAAAACACACATCAGTGGGGCCGTCCCATCAGGATTGGGGCATGTGCACACACGGACCTGCTGTGGCCAGGACTGGAACTACAGTCAACAATGTGAGATCCATCTTCCTTAACCAGTAGACCACAGAGCCAGTCCACCAGTCCACCTTTTGAATTTTTTTCACACCATGTGCTTTTTTTTTTTTTTTTTTTTTTTTTTGAAGTTTTGTTTTTTTTTTTTTTTTTGAG